CCTCCTGCTCCTTCTCCTCCTCCTCCTCCTCCTCCTGCCCTTCCCTCTTCTTCTTCTTCTTCGTCATCATCAGCATCATCATCAGCATCATCATCATCATCATCATCATCATCATCATCATCATCATCATCATCATCATCATTATCACCATCATCAGCATCATCACCATCATCATCAGCCGCATCATCATCATCATTATCACCATCACCATCACCATCATCATCATCATAATCGTCATCATGATCACCATCATCACCATCATCATCATCATCATCATAATCAGCAGCATCATCATCATCAGCATCATCATCGTCCTCCTCCTCCTCCTCATCATCATCATCATCATCAGCATCATCAGCATCATCATCAGCATCATCATCAGCATGATCACCATCATCATCATCATCAGCAGCATCATCATCATCATCATCAGCATCATCAGCATCATCAACATCAGCATCATCATCATCATCACCATCATCACGTGCATCATCAGCAGCAGCAGCAGCATCATCATCATCGTCGTCGTCAGCATCGTCATCGTCATCATCAGCAGCAGCATCATCAGCATCATCACCACCATCATCATCATCATCGTCATCATCATCTTCATCATCAGCATCAGCATCAGTATCATCATCAGCAGCAGCATCAGCATCAGCATCAGCATCATCATCGTCGCAGCATCAGCATCAGCATCAGCATCAGAATCATCATCATGATGGTCATAATCATCATAATCATCATCATTATCATCATCATCATCATCATCATCATCATCATCATCATCATCATCATCATCATCATCATCATCATCATCATCCTGCTCCTCCTCGTCATCAACATCCCCCTTCTCCTTCCTCCCTCCTCCTTCCTCCCTCCTCCTCCTCCTCCTCCTCGTTTTCCTTCTCCTACTCCTCCTCTTCGTTCTCCTCCTCCCCCTCGTCCTTCTCCTCCTCCTCCCACCACCCCGTGGTTCCTGCATGGCCTCACCGCGAAGCTTGACGAGCTTCAGCCCGTCTTCGAACGACAGCACGCCCGCGGCGCATAGGGCGGTGTACTCACCCAGGGAGAGGCCGGCCACGCACTGCGCGCGGCTCACGGCATCTGGCTTCTCGGCCTTCGAAGACAAATAATCATGCACATACACCGACCCAAGACAGGACAATCCAGGGCCCAGGATCGATGTATACGCACTCATGGCTTTGTCAGAAAGGCATGTACGACGATCATGTGCCAAGGATTGGCCTGGCCAGGGTTGGTGCATGTGCATAATTGTGTTCGCGCGAGGCGTGACGAATATGAAGCGGGAACGGGGAGGATAAAAAACTGGTTCAAGCTCGAAGACTGTTCCCTTTTCTCCGCCCAGGATATTCGCGATCATCTTCGCGATCTCGCATCGCGCTCCGCATCCCGACCGCCCCCGTCAATGGTCGTCCCAAGAAGAAGCAGCTTCAGCCTGCTGCACAGGCCCACCAGGAGCCGCCTGGAAGATGCCACTCCTTGGGACGACCATCGATGGAGACCTGATCACCTGACTTCGCGCATCGCGCCGAGGGAAGCGCGACCATTTTCGCGATCTCGCGCGGCCACATGGTAGAACGGTAAACCTTCCAGCCCAAGCCGCGCGGCACGACTATCTTTGCCCTGCTGCGGGCGACCTGGGTGACCCGGCTGCGTGGCCCCAGAGGGGCGGGTCTCGGAGAAGACTGGATTCATCCATCCCGCGTGCCCGTCCGCTGGGGAAGAGGCCGAGGCCCTCCCCCGATCCCACTCCCACAACTCCTCCTCCTCCTCCTCCTCCACCTCCTCCACCTCCTCCTTTTCATACTCCTCCTCCTCTTCCTCCTCCTCATCATCATCATCACCACAACCACCATCATCATCATCATCATCATCAGCCGCAGCAGCATCATCAGCAGCATCAGCATCATTATCATCATCATCATCATCATCATCATCATCATCATCATCAGCATCATCATCATCATCATCATCATCATCATCATCATCATCATCATCATCATCATCATCATCATCATCATCATCATCATCATCATCATCATCATTCATCATCATCATCATCATCATCATCATCATCATCATCCCCCTCCTCTTCCTGCTTCTCCCTCCTCCTGCTCCTCCTCCTCCTTTTCCTTTTCTCCTCCTCCTCCTCCTCCTGGTCCTCCTCCTCCTCATATTCCTCCTCCTCCTCCTCTTCCTCCTCCTCCTCTTTCTCCCCCTCCTCCTCCTGCTCCTCCTCATCATCATCTTCCTCGTCTTCCTCGTCTTCCTCCTCCTCCTCCACTTCCTCATCTTCCTCCTCCTCCTCCTCATCCTCCCCCTCCTGTTCCTCCTCTCCTTCTCCTCTCCTCCTCCTCCAACTCCTCTCCTCTTCCTCCTTCTCCTCCTCCTCCGCCGTCTCCTCCTCCTCCTCCTCCTCCCCCTCCTCCTCCCCCTCCTCCTCCTCCTCCTCCTCCTCCTCCTCTTCCTCCTCCTCCTCCTCTCATTCATATTATTGTTCGCTTTCGTCTTATTATTGTTTCTCCTTCGTAGTATTATGACTGCTAGTGCTTTTCGTACTATGATCATTCTTCTTTGTTGTACCATTTGTCATTTTAGTATTCGTATTATCGGTCAGAGTATTCTTATTTGCGTTAGCATTCGTATGACTAGTCTCCGTACTGTTATTCTTAATCGTCGTATTGTTGTGCGTGTTACTATTAGTCTTACTCTTAGCAATTTGATGAATAGTAGTACCGTTACAAGTAGTAGTAGTAGTAGTAGTAGTAGTAGTAGTAGTAGTAGTAGTAGTAGTAGTAATAGTAGTAGTAGTAGTAGTAGTAGTAGTAGTAGTAGTCGTGGTGGTAGTAGTAGTAGCAGCAGCAGCAGTAGTAGTAGTAGTAGTCGTCGTAGTCGTAGTAGTAGTAGTAGTAGTAGTAGTAGTAGTAGTAGTAGTAGTAGTAGTAGTAGTAGTAGTAGTAGCAGTAGTAGTAGTAGTAGTAGTAGTAGTAGTAAACGTAGTAGTAGTACTACTACTACTACTACTACTACTACTACTACTACTACTACTACTACTACTACTACTACTAGAAGTACTAGTAGCAGAAGTAGTACTAGAAGTAGTAGTAGAAGAAGTAGTAGTAGTCATCCTCCTCCTCCGCCTCCTCCTCCTCATCCTCCTCCTCATCCTCATCTTCATCCTCATCCTCATCCTCATCCTCATCCTCCTCCCTCTTGCTCCTCCTCCTCCTCCTTCTCCTCCTCCTCCAAATCCTCCTCCTCCTCCTTTTCCTCCTCCCTCCCTCCCTCCCTCCCTCCTCCTCCCTTCTCCTCCTCCTCCTCCTCCTCCTCCTAGATAGCCATTCTGGCTCAAGGCCGATTGTTGTCGTCAACGTGTATACCGCTAGTCCGGTGCCAGCTGACAACGTTCCCGCGCAGTTCGCCCTGCGCGTGTATCTAGCCTGCCACCCGAGGAGTCTGCAGGGCCCACTGTTTGGTGAGGTCATGCAGGAGCATCAGTTGCAGCAACGTATCCATGGCACCAGCGCCCTGGAACAAAGATGGCAAAGCTGATTGGTACTGCAGGTTCTGTACTTTTCGTCGCACCGGGGCTCCTCTGCTCAAGTGGGACTCGAATGAGAAGTACTACAAGTGCCACATTCACAAGAATGCCAGCTTCATGTCCGTCATCCAGCCCGACAGCCCGCCCATGCGAAAGCGCAAGGCAAGCGAGAGGGCAAGAGGTGGAGGAGCCGCACTGGCGAAGCTCGAACACCGCATCATCAACAGCAATAGCATGACAATCATCATCACCGTCATCAGCATATTCAGCGAAACAATCACCACCAAAACCACCACCATCATCATCATCATCATCATCATCATCATCATCATCATCATCATCATCATCATCATCATCATCGTCATCGTCATCGTCATCGTCATCATCATCAGCATCATCATCAACAGCAGCATCATCATGATAACCATGATCAGCAGCAGCAGCATCAGCAGCATCAGCTTCAGTATTATCATCATCGTCTTCGTCATCATCAGCGGCGGCATCAGCATCATCATCATCATCATCATCATCATCATCATCATCATCATCATCATCATCATCATCATCATAAACAACAACATCATCATAATCAGCATCAGGATGATCATCAAAAGCATCGTCGTCATCATCAACAGCAGCATCGTCATCAACCAAAACCATCAACATCATCACTAATCATCCACAGCACCATCAGCAGCAGCATCCTGAACATAATCATCATCAGCAGTATCATCATCGGAATCATCATCATCAGCATCATAATCATAATCATCATCATCATCATCGTCGTCATCATCATCATCGTCGTCGTCATCATCACCCCCACCACCATCATCATCATCATCATCATCAACATCATCATCCTCGTCGTCATTGTCAGCAGCAGCATCATCCACATCGTCCTCATAGTCCGCGTCATCCTCATCACGGCTCTCCCAAGCCTGGATACACGAGGAGTCACACTTGACGGCCTTCCGTGACCCCTGGAACAGTCGCCACCCAGAGTGCTGGAATGCCATGATGGCGGGACTTGCCGCAGGCAGCTGGTTTGAGACGAGGTGTAATCACATAGTGTGGTTGAGATGAGGCATTCTGATCCGCGCGCGCGAGGGCGCCTCTGGGCTGTCTGCGGACCTTCCAAGTCGCCACAAGAGCGCCCCAAGAGCGACGTCAGAGCGTCTAAGATGGCCCTAGATTTCTCCATGATGGCACCAGACAGGGACCATTGCCTGCAAGATGGCTCAGCTTGATCCAAAATGGCATCCAACATGCCCTCAAGAGGCCACAAGGGAGCCCGGACATGGCTCGGATCTGAACTCTGGCCTCCCAAAGATGCCCCCGAGAGGCCGAATCTGTGATTCCTCATGTTCGCCGTTCGGCCTCCAGTGGGCCTCTGAGGCCTCAGGGGGTGGTACCGAGATGACCTAAGAGGGCCCTAAGCCTGTCTTGCCTGCCAAACCTGCTCCGTGAAGCTTTTACGACCACTCGCTCGCTCGAAACGGCAAAGAGTCGGAAGGGGCGGCGACGTTGTCAAAGGCGGTCGTACCGCGTCAGTCCGATTTCCGCTTCTCACGGCCTTCAGCTTGGCAACGCCCGCCAAGCCCCCCACGAACATCGCCGGCTGGCAGTACCTGGTCTCCGCGAGTTTCTCCTCGGGCCCCTCTAGGCACAGCTCCAGCAGATCGTAGCCGAGGATAGTCTTCGCCTTAGAGAGCATGTCCTTCACCTCTGGCAAATCCTTCACCTGGTCGAGCATCTTAACGTACTGGGAGCCCTGGCCAGGGAAGAGGAGCGCCACCGGCAACGGCGGCTGCGAAGGGGCGCTGGGCGCTGCGGCGGGCTTCGCCGCGGTGGCGGCCGGCTTCGCCTCGGATGCCGGCTTCGGGCTCGGCTGCGCACTGGGCTTTGATGCCTCGGACTTCGCAGCGGTTGGCTCCCAAACCTTGTTCGGGTCTGGAGCGCTGTACAACTTCCGGTTATTGCCGATGCCTTCCGGCGCATACCAGCCTGGAGGGGTATCCTTCTCCGCCTGTTCTAGCAACTTCGCGACTGCCGTATGCTTGAACTTGATGGCCTTGTCGCGGGCCGTCTGCCCAGTTTTGGGGTCCTGCCCAGAGCTGACCCTGGTCTTCACGTGCGGGTCGGCTCCAGCCTCGAGCAAGAGCTTTACGCAGTCCTAAGAGAGCGCCGACCATACGCTTGCACCAAGCCTGGCCAGGCACATCCTTGGCCCAGAGGCCAGGCCAGGCCATGGGCCTGTCCTATGCGCACTCCTGGCAAGGACAGAAACGCCTGCTTACTGCTCAGGGTCCAGCGTGGGCCTGGCCAGGCTTAGCGCCAATGTATGTTGGGTTCCCCCCGATGTCCTCCCGCCCGGCCAACGCCGCCATGTGGAGCGGGTTGACATCGGTGAAGTGCATGTTCAGATCCCCATTGAAGATCGAATCCGCGTCGCCTGTGCTCAGCATCTTCTCCAGAAGATCAAAGTCGCCCCTGTACGCAGCCTCGGATACGTCTGCGAGAGACACCATATTCCACTTCTTATAACGGAAAGAATTCGGAATGGGATTCACGTATCCATCCGTGGGCGCCATCTCTTACAGAGGAAAAACCCGGCCCGAGGCTGATTCAGCACTCGTCTGAGAGGATTCCTATCCTGGGCGCTCAGGCAGCCTTGAGAAAAGCTGGCAAGGGAAAGCACACACTGACTCTGCAAAATGACGGACGACTCCACTATCACAGATTCTGCGACCAACACTTGTCTAGACACCATGTTAAAATATGCCTTGTCACGCTGGACGCGAAATATCGGCATGCTTGAATATGTGGGATGCGGCTAGAGGGTTGGGTGCGGTGGTGACTATAAAACTGTTTGTGGCCAATGTGCGGGATGCGGTAAGTAAGTCCTGGCCCCCCTGACAGCATTCCACCAAGAAACGGACGATGTTTGATGAGCTTAGAGATGCTTAGGGCTCGTACCGTCCGAACAATAACATAACTACCGCACCTTCATGCTGGACCTGATGACCCTTCCAGGTCTGGACGGAAAATGGGTGAAAAAGACGTGCTAGATCTTCGGCTGTCCCTTCTGCTGTTCCTACAACCCAGGATTCCAAGAATCATGTTAGATGGGTGGTCGGGCTCTCGTGGCCCCAAGCGTCCGCAGGACGGCACAAAGACGGCCCTGAGGTGGCCCCCGAGCCGCAGAGGATACGCGTCCGTGAATTAAGTGTTCCCGCAGGCGGTCAGCTATCGGCGGCGCGCGTCGGCTGCGAATTGGGAACGAAGGAAGGAGGAGGAGGAGGAGGAGGAGGAGGAAAGGGGAAGAAGGGGAGGTCCGCGAGACGGCCGCAGCGCCCGCAGAACTTGGAGAGCAAATTCTCGAAGCTTTCCAACGAGCGTGGTATTCTCGCTTTCGTTTTCTGCTGGGCTTCTGAGGCATCCAGATGGCACAGAAAGACCTCAGAGGACCCAGAAGGCCCCAGGAGAATCCCTGAGGCCCCCAAGAGCACCCCGAGAGAATCCCGACTTGGCCCTAAGGGGCGACTCTCCAGAGAGCCCGGGAAGCCCTCAAAGGATCCCCAAGAAAACCTCAAGGGAAGGGCGCCCAAAGGGCTCCAGACGGGGGCACTCATCTTCAATTCAACCTCCTTCTGAACGTAATCTCCTCCTCCTCCTCCACTTCCCTCTCCTCCTCCTCCTCCTCCTCCTCCGCCTCCTCCTCCTCCGCCTCCTCCTCCTCCGCCTCCTCCTCCTGCTCCTCCTTCTGCTCCTCCTCCTCCTCTCCCTCCTCCTCCTCCATTCCTTCTCCATATAAACAAGTTCTCCCTGTCGCATCCCGAGGCCAGTTTTTAGGGCGGGCCGGGCGTTTCGCCTGAGACTTCTCCACGTCTTACGACTCTGAAACTTCAACGCTGACAACAGTTGCACGGATTGAGGGCGAGTGGTTTTCAAAATGTGGTTCCCGCCGTAGCGCCGCGCACAGTCGTTGTACAAATGTTACAGAACTTTACGGATTGAGTGTGGTTCCTTTTCAACATGTGGCTATCGCCCTAGCGCCACGCACATTAGTTTTTAAAATGTGCACGAGTTCTGCATATTCTTATGATTAACGTACCAGAAATTGCGTCCTGGAAAGATTCAGGCTCATGAGGGTGCACAAGTTATGTAGATTCGCGGCGTTCAAGTCCCAGGAATAACGTTCTGGCACGATTCAGGATAGTCAAAAACGCAACAGTCAGGTTGATCCGTGGCGTTGGAATCCCGAAAACAATGTTCTGGCCTGCTTCAGGGTCTTCGAACAGTTGTCTTCCAATGAAGCAGTTCCCTCCGTAAAGATGAACCGCTGTACGGGCCTGCGAAGGGGGAGCTTGGAGGGAGGGTTTACTACAACATCGTTGAAGCCTCTTGGGTACACTGGTCCTCCTCCTCCTCCTCTTCCTCGTCCTCCTCCTCATCATCGTCCTCCTCCTCATCATCATCATCCTTCTGCACTTCCTCCACATGCTCATTCGAATGTGCCCTCCTCACCGTCCTTGGACGGGCGCAGGCCTCTAAAGTCCACCCGCCCACCAGGCTGAGGGGCGTGTGAGACGTAATTCCGAGGGTTCCTCTCAGGTATTCGGCCCCACCCCTTTTCCCTCCAAGAGCCTCCATCATTCCGCCGCCTGGTTGTGTGCCATCCAGCCTGGTGGGCCCAAGACTGCTCCAAGACAGCGTCCAAACCGATAATTTCCCACATCATTCACGACACCCTTTCGAAGACGATGTTCGTTTCATTTTGGGTGCCTTCTCCTGACTGGGCACCATGGAACGCCTCTTCGGCCCATTGTCGCCAATAGGTGGGACCCCTTCCAACGCAGTAACATGCAAGTTCGCCTTATTTCAAGGTTGTCTGGGAGGCTATCATGAAAAATGCTCGAGTTCGTTCGGGGCATTTCAAGTCGTTTTGCATGCACGGTGCGACTACTTGTTCGACGAGTATGGTCCCGAACGATTGGATTCCAAGTCGGGAGGAAAACTGACACTGCTGCTGGCCCAGATTGAGCACGCTCCGGATTCGCCTCGGACCCAACGCAGGAACGCTCGCGCTTGAGCCGGCTAAAAACCACCCTGGGCCCCCACTGGCCCTTGTGGGGTCCTTCACCACGGGGCTCGGCGCCTCGTCACCAGTGCATGACAGGCTGCTGGCAAGGAGCTCCTTCACGGCCCCACGGCGAGAAAACGAAGTCGAGGACGTGGGGGCAGTCCTGACCTGGTGCAAAACTGTGGCAGCCGCAAGGCGCCGGGCCGCCGTGGTCTGCCCGCGCTGCACACAAGGCGGGTGGAGCGCGGCCAGACGGGCGGAGCGCGTTAGCCAATCGCATCAGTGGCAATCTGCTCCGAGCGCCGACGGCGCGCCAGCCTCCTCCTCGTAGAAGTCGAAATTGGCCCCTGCGTCGGCGGCGTCGGCTGAATCACCGACAGCGGGGAAAGATCGCGCTGGCGATCCATCGATGCCTGGAGAGGAGAAGGGCTCCCTTTAGCGGACATCGCGCGTCGACCGACGCGTCCGTCTGCGGCCTGATGGCAAGCTCCCGCGGCACGGGGTCGCCATGACCTCGACCCCCCCGTCTGGGCGGGGTCACCCCTGCCGCCGCCCTTGGGCCCGCGGCGCAGTTTCTGCTCTTCTTTCGCCTTCCTGGCCTCCCTGAGCATGGCGGCCTTGTCGCGGAGGTTGGCAACATGATGCTTCTGCAAAGCTGGTGCCGCCGCCGCGCCGCCACGGTGAGCTGCTCAGCCCATGTACTCGTCGGCCGCCGAGCGGGCAACCTCGATCACCCGCAAGCGGCGGCACAGCGGCTCGGCGCTCTGTAGCGCGGGCGCGTTGAGCTGATCCACGCTAATCATCGACTCCAGCACACGGCAAATGACCTATTGCTCGTGCATCGAGCGGTCACCCTCGGGGATACACCCCGCCCTCAACCAGTTAGTGTGGTGCGTAACTGGCGTGAGGCCAACGACCCACCATGATCTCAGGAGCCAGAGGCACGAGGGCGGTCCGTCCAGCATGAGGCCTCCCTCGGGCTCGTCCGCCACCTGGAGGTCCACCGCCTCCGTGAAAGGGCGGCGCCGCGAGCCCTCCTGGTTGAACTTCACGGGGAGCACGCGGAGGCCGTCGAGCACAAAAGCATCGACCTCGGCGGCTGGCACCAGGCGGGCCGTGACCCAGCCTCCCAGCGCAGGAACCAGCGCGATGTCACCCTCCACGATCGCGTTCGCGGGTAACGGATCGGGAGACCTCTCTCCACGCCGCAGCGCACAGAAGTCCTCGGTGGCCAGCCCGACCGCGGGCGCCGCCGCGGGTGCAGGAGCGCGAGCCCCAGCGCGAGCCACCCCACCAGCCTCCCCGCCGTGACGGACTGCAGGAGCCGCAGGCGCGGCGGGCCCAGCGGCGGCCGCACCAGCGCCGGCAGCGGCGGGCGGAGCGGGCGGCGCTCCTCCAACCATCAGGGCGCCGTCCCGCTTGAGCTGCTCCAGCTCCGCCGCGGTGGGCAGCTGCCTGAAACGGTACACCTCATGCGGGTTCACGCCAGCTGGAGTCGCGCCCTGGGCTCCCGACCAGAGGACCTCCGCCACATCGTCACATCGCGAGTCCTCGGCGTAATGGTCGCCGTCCGCCGTGAGGGTCGCCACGAGCCCTGGCACGGCCTGACTGACCCCCGTGACCAGCCGCTCGTGGCACAAAGGCGGCCCTGGCAGATCATACCTAATGATAATATACTGAATGTACTCACCTGGCCGCGCCATTCCTAAAGCGGAGGAGTGCCACCTGCTGGCGCGCCCTGTCGTCGATGGCCTCGTCACGTACTCCCAGTGGAACGCCCAGTGGGTTCTGGCGGCTCCGACCACGGCCCCCAGCAGGTAGCGGACTGCCCCGAGACGAGGCCCATCAGGCCCTCCTGCGGAGGGCAGGTCAGGTTGACCAGCAGCGCCGCGCGCACGGGCACCGGGCAGGAGGCCACAGGGCAAGAGCAAATCGCGGGCGGGCACGCCAGCGAAACGGGATGGCAGGCAGGCACAGCCGAGAGCACCGCCTGCCACAGCGCCGCCAGCTCCAGCCCCCGAATGGCGGCTGACTGCAGAGCCTGGAAGGATGGGATCGCAGGAAGACCCATCGAGAAGAACCCTCCTGCCAGAGAACTTGAGCCCACATGGCCCGCGGCACTCCCCCGCTCCCAAGATCATTCACGTGCAGGCACTACGCATATACATCGACATATACCTATACTTATACATAAACATATACATATACATAGACATATACGTGAACAGACACACTACCCCTGCATAAACATATACATTTACATACATATGCATATGCACGTACATATATAGTTATATAGACATGAACACATATGTATACATATATATATATGCCTACACCTATACATAAACATATGTATATACATACACATATACATATGCATATGCGTATGCGTACGCATATAGACATTGACATGGAAATATACACGTCCAGGTACATACACATATACAAATATTCGTACATATACATACACATACACATAGGCATAGGCATGCGCATACACGCATACAGTTGCATTTGACTAAACATATACATATACATATACAATTGCATATACATATACATATACAAGTATATGTATAAACATACATATACATATACATATACATATACATCTGCACATACACATAGACATACATATACATATACATATACATAAACATTTACATAAACATGAACATGAACATATGCATATGCATATACTTATACATGTACATATACATGTACATGTACATATACATATGAATATACATATACATATACATACACCTATACGTATACACAAACAAATACATACACATATAAGTGTACGCATACCTATACGTATACATATACAGCTGCATATACATATATACATATATACATATATGCATATATACCTATACACATGTATACATATACAAATACAAGTATATATATATATAACTATATACATATGAATATGCATATGCAAATACACGTACACATACCTCTACATTTACGGGTGCATATACATATACATATGCGTATACATCTACATATACATATGAAATACATAAACATATACAAATACATATATACAACTATGTACATATACATATGCCTATACACAAACCTATACAGATACAGATGCATATAGATGTATGCCTCTAAATGTACATATACAAATACTTGCACGTAGACATATACATGTACATACACATACACAAAAGCATATCCATATACACCTACATAAACACATGCACATACATATACATATACAGATACAAATGCAAATACATATACATATACATATTCAGCAGGCGGGAGAAAAAATGCTCCGTCACTGGGGGCGCTGCCTCAAGGCGGCTGGAAAGTTTATACCGTGACGTGCCACCGTAAGAACATAAACCTTCCAGCCGCCCTGGGACAGGCGCCCCCGACAGGAAAACAGTTTATGGGATACCGTTCCCCACCCGTTCCCATCTACATATACATATACCTATGCATATACATATATATGTTCATATGCATATACAAACGCCTTTCACATAAACATACACATTTGCATACAGATATACACATACATTAATATGTGAATATACATATGTCGAATACGATATATACATGTATATGCACATGTAAGTATACACATATGTATATACATGTACTCAAAGAGATAGAGAGAGACTGAGAAAGAGAGAGAAAGAAAGAAAGAGAGAGAGAGAGACAGAGGCACTGACAGGGATGGAACGAACAACCGAACGAGACGAACGGACGAACGAATCGGCGGGGGGGCGATTGCCTCGCTCCCCATAGACGGGTGCAGCGCGCCGGGCGGGGGCTTCGGCGCATCCTGGTGGGAGCAGCGCGCATCCATCACAGGCCCTGCGCAGGTCCCTGCCCTGCTCCCCTTTCAGGCTCTTGGATTACTTCCGTTCCCTCTCTCTCTCTTTTTCTGTCCCTTTTCTGCTCACATTGCTATCCATCATTGATTGGTCCTCTTTGATCATCACACTACAAGCGAATATGCGTAGCATCCACCCGAAAGGATGATGAACTGAAATTTATTACAATCAAATGCACACGTGTGCCGTCGTCATCATCATCATCATCATCATCGTCATCATCATCATCATCATCACCATCAGCATCATCATCATCCTCGTTCGCTTCCTCCGCCGCCCCCACCTCCGCCACCGCCGCGTTATCATCACAGGGACACAACACCGCCCACATCTTAACCCAGATCTTCGCACTCGTCCTCATCCCCACCCTCGCCTTGATGCTGACACGCACACCTCGTCTCGTCCTGGTCGCCTGTTGTTATTCCTTACTCCCTTTGCCTGTTCCTCCATACTCCTCCAGCTCCTGCTCATCCTAAACCATCCCCCATCCTACATGGTCCTACATCCATCCTCATTATCCTCCTCCTTTTCCTTGCCCTCCTCCTCCTCCTCACATCCCCTCCTTTCCCTCCCCCAATCACTCATCCTCCTTCACTGTCTACGATTACTCACTGCGGGTACCACTCTAGTCGCTCCCCTGAACCTGTACCGCCGTGGCTTCGCAGCTCCCGCGGATTGCTTGTCACAAACACACACATATGCTTACATACATACATACACACATTCACACATACATACATACATACATACATACATACATACATACATACATACATACATACATACATACATACATACATACATACATGCACATACATGCACATACATGCAGGCATGCATGCATACATATATATATATATATACATACGTACATACGTACGTACATACATACACACATACATACATACGCACATACACACATACATACACAAATACAGACTTACATACATACACACATAAATACATGCACACATGCATACATGCGTGCATGCATACATCCACACATACATACACACATATACATACGTACGTGCGCACGTGCGTCCATACATACATATATACATACATACATACATACATACATACATACATACATACATACATACATACATACATACGTACCTGCATACACAAATACATACACACATACATACACACATACATACATACGTACGCACGTACATACATGCCATTTCCCCCCCCCCCCCCCCCCCCACGAACGCAACACCGCAAAGCTGCGCAACTGAGTGTAACGGAGCAGCGAAAGGAAGCCGTGAACCCGCACGCGCCCGCGCGCAGAAAGTTCCAATGGGCCTGAAACAACAACAAGTATCCTGACGAAAGACCCAACCATACGCAAGTGTGAGAACCGCAAGGCAGGTGGGACGAAGCAAGGGGACTTTCCTATGGGGCCACGAACCGTGTGAGGGGGTGCGCCAAAATGTGGCGGGGCCGCCATGCGAATCCTGCCACTGAAGCCTTCGGCGGAGCTCCCTATGGGGCCACGAACCGTGTGAGGGGCGCGCCAAAATGGGGCGGGGCCACCATGCGAACCCTGCCAGTGGGGCCTTCGGTGGAGCTCCCTATGGGGCCACGAGCCGTGTGAGGGGTGCGCCAAAATGGCGCGGGGCCGCCATGCGAACCCTGCCTCTGGGGCCTTCCGTGGAGCCGTCTATGGGGCCACGAACAATGTGAGGGGTGCGCCAAAACGCTGGGCCGCCATGCGAACCCTGCCATTGGGGCCTTCGGTGCAGCTCCCTATGGGGCCACGAACCGTGTGAATGATGCGTCAAAATGGGGCGGGGCCGCCATACGAACCCTGCCACTGAAGCCTTCGATAGTTCCCTATGGGGCCACGAACCGCGTGACGGGTGCGCCAAAATGGCGCGGGGCCGCCATGCGAACCCTTTCCACTGGGGCCTTCGGCGGAGCTCCCTATGGGGCCACGAACAACGTGAGGGGTGCGCCAAAACGCGGGGCCGCCATGCGAACCCTGCCACGGGGCCTTCGGTGGAGCTCCCTATGGGGCCAAACAACCGTGCAAGGGGTGCGCCAAAATGGCGCGGGGCCGCCATGCGAACCCTGCCACTGGGGCCTTCGGTGCAGCTCCCTATGGGGCCACGAACCGTGTGAACTGTGCGTCAAAAGGCGGGGCCGCCATGCGAACCCTGCCACAGGGGCCTTCAGTGGAGTTCCCAATGGGGCCACGAACAGTGTGAGGGGTGCACCAAAACGCTAGGCCGCCATGCGAACCCTGCCAGTGGGGCCTTCGGTGCAGTTCCCTATGGGGCCACGAACCGTGTGAGGGGTGCGCCGAAATGGCGCGGGGCCGCCATGCGAGCCCTGCCATTGGGGCCTTCGGTGGAGTTCCCTGTGGGGCCACGAAACGCTGCACTGGGTGGGTGGAACGCAGGGAGGAGGGAGGAAGAAAAAGAGGAGGAGGAGGAGTAGGAGGAGGGGGAGAAAGAAGGAAGGAAGGAAGGAAGGAGGAACGCGGGGCACCGTCTCTTAGGACCCAACACCACAGGATGGTTGGGAAATTATGCGAACGGGGTTCCCCACATAAAGATATTAACGGCTTCGTGGGACCCGTGGGGTACGACAACATCAACACGAAGGAGAAGCCCATCGAACGAGTAAGTACGCACGAAAGGCCAGACGAAAGAAAGGAGGAGGGAGGACAGGTCCTCAGGAAACGAAGCCTTGTAAATAGTACGGTTTCTTGATACCCTCCTCGCTCTGGCGGGGCCCCACTGGAAGGGGGGAGGGCTACGAAACCTGGGAAAGACTAATGTTTTCCGCGGCCCTCCTCGTTCAAACGCGGCCACTCTGGAGGAGTGGAGGGGGGACACGAAACCGTGTAAACTGCATTGTTTTCCGATACCCTCCTGGAGGAGGGGGAGGAGGAGGAAGAGGATAAGATGGATGATGGTGAAGAGCAGCAGCAGGAACCGCAGCAGGAGCAGCAGCGGGAGGATGACCAGGAGTTTGAACATGAGGAGGAGGAAGGTCGGGCGGGCGGGTGAGTCGCCAAGGCGTCCAAGGTCCGATTCGTGAGGTTGGTCTGGGTGGTCTCTTTTTCCTCGTCCTTCCTCCTCCTCCCCCTCCTCCTCTTCCTCCTCCTCCTCCTCCTCCTCTGTCTTCGCCCTCGTCGGCGTCGTAGTCGTCGTCGGCAGCGTCGGCGTCGCCGCCTTGCTCAGGCAGGCCCTAAAAGGCGGGCCCTGAAGTATGCATTACCATCGACTTGGCACGCATGTCCCCCTCCTCCTCCTCCTCATCCCATCCACCTCCCCCTTCGCTTCCTCTGCTTCTTCCTCCTCTACCTCTCCTTTATCCTCCCCCCCCTCCTCCTCCCGCGAAATCCTGAGAAGGAGTGACCGGGGCAGGTTTGGCATATAGACGGCGTATCTTTTATTCGCTGGCAAAACACGCTTGATCGAAACCGCAATGTCAGTGGGAGGGGCACGAAATCATTTAATTAGTGTGGGTTTCCGATACCCTCCTCGCTCAGACGGGGCCTCCCTGGAGGGGTGGGAACCCTCCTCGCTCAGGCGGGGCCACCCTGGAGGGGTGGGAAGGGCACGAAACCATGTAAATAGTATAGGTTTCCGACACCCTCCTCGCTCGGGCGGGGCCACCCTGGAGGGGTGGGAAGGGCACGAAACCATGTAAATAGTATGAGTTTCCGATACCCTCCTCGCTCAGGCGGGGCCTCCCTGGAGGGATGGGGGGGGCACGAAACCATGTAAATAATGTGAGTTTCCGATACCCTCCTCGCTCAAGCGGGGCCTCCCGGGAGGGGTGGAAGGGGCTGGGAGGCGGGAGGCGGGAGGGAGAAGGAGAGGATGTTCTGGGAAAACAAGAACCCCACTCAGGATGTGGGGGAAAAAAAAAGCACGACCTTTTGAACGAGAGGAAAATCTGCTGCCCCAGAAGGGGGCTACCCGCCAAAACACCAACGGCGCAACATCCGGTCGTCCCCGCCAGCGGGGTGAAACCGAACGCACGGCCTGTAAACGCAGACATCAGCCTACGCGCACAACCAGTGCAGGCTGAAGGCTGCAACGGATATCGCGCCCAGGACTGGTCAAATGCCACGGACACGGCGCGCCGGAGGCCTAACAAATGCCACGGAAACGGAGCGCCAGAGGCGCGGCACAGAAGCGGCGGAAACAAGGACGAGGGAGGAGAACAGAAAGAGGGACAGGAGCAGGTCGAAACGAAATACCTAAGCCGCAAACTTCGTTTGGGCGCATGCAGTCGCCAAGTAAAGAACGGTGCACGGTGAACAAGAAGATACACCGCACGCGGGGCGGAGGAGGAGGTGGCAAGGGACGCAAGCCCGAAAACTGTGCCCGGAGCCACCCGCACGCGGCCTCCACAGGGCCAAGCGCACGGCGCGCGCAGAAGGTGGGCCCCAGCCACGCCAATTCGGGAGGAGAGGATGAAGAACGAAAGAAAGATAATACAAGAACCTGTTCCAGCAAGTTCGATCAGCAAAGTTGGAAGCCACAGGACCCCGAACTATTTTGCGTGCTTGTCCCAGCCGCGTGGCCGATATTAGGGCGCCCGGCTCACCACCCAAGCTTGTCGGCACACTGCTCGAAGTCGTGCTGCTGGTCGTCCCAGTATTGCATGAGCTTGCGCACGTCCAACATAGGTCCTGAGGGCAGAGTCTGGAGGCGAACAGAAACGGACCCAGGAGACGCAAAGGAGGAACCCTCAAGAGAACCCCAAGACCACCCAGACACCGCAGCCATGCCCTAGAGGACCCAATTAAGAGTCCCAGCGGTCCTGGAGCTGCACTAGCAGCTGCGACCGCGGATGCCCGGGTGGACTGCAGCGTGCTGCCGGCACTGCGCACGAGCGGAGGTCCGCGTGGAGGGCTCCGAACTCCCTCTTGCCATCGGCGCCGTGCTTGCCGCAGTGGAACTCGACACCGACATGC